TTTTTATGGGATACAGCTATGCACTTTTTTTGCGATAGCTGTGCTTGTTAGATTATGGCACAGATTAGAATTAACAGGAAATGATTAAACATGCAAGAATGTTACTAATCTTCTGCATTACGAGCAAAAAATCATTTTCCGGTGTTCAATTGTTCTGACAGGAGTGATGTCGTAACCCCTAATGATTTGTAAAGCTTCCCTCTGAGACAGCGATAAGATAATCTAATTTTTGGATGTCGGGAATCGTTTGTTGGTGTATAACAGCGTCAAAGCTGCTCCAAAATTCTCTCTGTTGATTTGGGTTGCCACCAAAGGTGAGTAATGGTAGGTGGGGAAGATTGACTGTTGGATATCATGGTATTTGGATTGGCTCCTTAGGCAGGATTTTTCCTCCTTTCCTAGGCGTTGGAGAATTAGTTCAGAATCATCTTTGTATATTTTTAAAATGATTATGGTTTTTTTAGCTTGTATGATAAAATTTAGGATACCTTTGTCTTTGTCGACTATTTCGGACTATCGCTCCTCCTTTTCTCTTCTTTTAGCTGTGCCTGGATTTGTTAAATGCATTGCTTCCATTTATTGTTTATTGCTTGCAGTATCTCGATGTGAAGCTCGAGGCGAAGTAGTCTTTCTTGGATAATTCTTTTTCGTTCCTCATGGTGTTGAATTGTTTCTTCTGGCGTTGTCATTTGGTCTAAGGGACCCAAATTTAAGTGGGAAATTTCGTCGAGGAGTTCCGACAGTTTTTCTTTTGTAGGTTCAGCGCCTTTGATGATAATTGACGACATGCTCCCGGCTCGTGGCACCAAAAGATTTGTTGTGATTTTTGTGTGGTAGGCGGGAGAGCTTTATGATTATGTGGCACAATCGAATCTGTTGCTGAAAGTTTCTTGGGAAAAGGTTTTATTTTGGGGTTGACGTTATAGGATTAGTTGTGTTTTCTTAAAGTGGGAGTTGATTGTTCTATCAGATCATGATCTGATGAATTAGGCTTAGATTTCTGGTTTTGTCTAGTTTGTTCCAGAAACTGTTGATTTTGATAGCTTCCTTAACCTAACTGTCAGTGATAATTCATATGAATAATTCTATATCACAAAATTTCGGATTTCCCGTAAGCACGTAAGCACTTGGTATAATAGATAATTAATATTTTTAGACGAAATTGGTAAAACACGAAGGAGTCATAAAGTCGTTTGATAAGCCAATTGTCGGCAAATCCCAATATTTGTGATAAAATTATTCACATTGATTGAGAATTATATCATTGACAATTAGGTTGAGAAAGCTGCATTTCACAATTTTGTCTTTATTGAAATTTATTGTAATGTATATCTCTTTGTGTTACTATAATGTTATTGTGAGAGATAGCCACACATTTGCCATTATTCTTTGTCTCTTACGTGAGAATATAACTAACAAGTAATACAATCCTCTCCTTCATGATCTATCCCGGTATCGCCCTCCAATGTTGGATATATAAACACTCAAATATGGGTATCGGGATTCTTTTTTTCATTCTTCCACATTTTTCAACGGTTGTACGCTTACTCGTTTCTACTAACCACTACCATCATATATTTTGCTGCTCGTTTCATCTGTTGAGGTATTTCTTCTGTGGAATTATTGGATAAAATTCCCAACTTATAAATCTAACAAATAACTTGTGAATCAGCACCAACCATTCTACAACGCTTTCACAACACTAATGGTTAACCAATGATCATCTAGTCGTTTAAAGATTAAGCCGATAATAAAGTTAATCACTTTAAGTATTTCAATAAATTTAATAAAACATACCCTTAATGATCATTTGGCTGAGAATAATTGATACGAGGGATTTCTATAACATAGATTTCAAAATACAAAAAAAAAATACTTTGATTATATAGATATTTTAGATTATAAAGTTAAGTTTTCCAACAATCACTGTTTACAGTAGTCATTTGGTTATTTCATAAACTAAAATGATCATAAGAAAATTGATAAGAGTCATAAAAATTGATAGTAAACAAAGAAACGCCCGTCAACTGAGAAGTGAAAAATGCATACGACTTCCATAACATAGACAATAAGAATATGAGAAAATATACAGCAATACAATGATTTTTTTCGATAAGGTTCATTTCGGTTTCCGATAATACTAATTGGTAGTATCCAAAGTTTCTTTCATTCCAGAAAACCAATCATCAAGATATCTTCTTATTCATTAAAAAATTTATTAGCAAAATTCATATTTAAATCAACCCATATTGATCTGTGAACTTGCGAACCTGCGAGAAATCCTGACCATGCCACAAAATAGCAAATTTTGATAAGGAGACATGGAGAACGCCATAAAAAATTATATTTGCTACCTTTCAAGCAAAACATCCAAACTTTTTTGTACTTCTTGCAACATCATATAAAGTTCTACAAGTTTGCTTCTGTTCAGCTCCACAATTTTTGAGCCCTGATCTGTGTCAAAATGTAAAATTGCTTCTGCAGTACGCATCACTGGATTATCGCTACTAAAACGATAAATTCAGTTATAAATGACTTCAAAAATGTTCATATTCTAGCCATTACAAAAGTCCTATCTGTCTTTATTTATAAAACAAAAAATTACGGCACAGTAGGACGTCATCACAATACTCTGAGTTAAAGAGAGAACCTGTTAAAAGGCAGGTACTTTTTAACTCATTTATATATTTTGCTTTGTTTCAAAAAGCTATCTCTGTGTGCTACTACAAAAGGTTTTTTCATGAAAAATGACAACTACCAGAATGAATTATTTTTTCTTGTGTTTCTAATCTCATCTGAGAAAATAATGGTTTGATATTATTTCATTCTTTGCGGGAAACAAATATTTTGATAATTATGAATATAAGAGATGGGGGAGTAGAATTTATGACAAGTATGTTAGTATTAGGTCAGTACTAACATGGGAAGGTTTATGTACTTGGTTCTGAATAATTCAAATAGTATAGTAATGAAATGATGGATTACTCGACAATTAAAATGAAGTTGTAACTTAATTACCTCTTAAATTGAAAAACCAAAAAAAAAAAGTTAAAAGTTTAAATATCTACAAAACTATCCACCTTGCGACATTCATGCGTAGCACCCATTCGACATCTCTAACATTAGGACGTCCAGAAAACGAAATATTACGTAACCGGTCTGAAATCGTCCAGCCGCTTTCTGACCAAACTTTTACGATTGCATTTCTCATTTCAGCATCAAATCCAACCTAGAAATACTGAAGTGTTACATGAATGAATGAAACCTGCTAAACCTGTCGTCAATTCAGAAATACTACAACTGGAAAGCTTTCCATTAAATTTAGAAGTATACGTAGAAGGATAATAAGAAATTTCATAAAACTTACTTTCTCTAAATTCTCAAGCAATGGTTGCAATTTAGGCTGATAATATGCAATGTTTTTCCACAATTCGCTTATAGTCAACTGAAAACTGACGAACTGTGAGTTATTTTATCCACTCTCCTTTTTCATCTTCGTTCCCTCACGAATAATTCAGTAACAGCAACAGCAACAGCAACAGCAAAGTTCAGGAGATTAATTAACGGTTATAAAACTTAAAAAGATCTGGAAATTTTCAACAGCTAAAAGTAAGAGAATGACGAAGAATTAAAAATTTTTTAGAATGGAAAGTTATTAAGTGGTACGAAATGACAAGTAAAGATAAAGAATTCAAGTTAGCAATAAAGTAATTTCAAAAACATTAAAAAAGCTCTAATACTGAAAAAAAAATGTTCTAATCGCAAAGTTTTTAAAAAAACAATTTTAAGACGATTTCGTTATACTAAATTTATAAAAATTTGAAACATCGGAAGTCGAATTCGTTTTATGAAAATATATTTGGAAAGAATAAAATTTCAAATCTAAAAAGCTACAAACTTACAAAAACAGCAAGTTCCGATGCAGGATCAGTCTGTAAATTTCCGAACAATTTCGCCCGTTCTTCTGCGTCCAATACATCTGCGATATCAATGTTATTCGGTATTCTTTCTAATATATGTTGTGAAACTTGTATGAATTTCATTGGACCCAATTGAACGATTTTTTCAACCATTCCTTCAGTTCCAATCGGTATAAGCCTCATCATCTCGGACGAAATTTTCGAAAAATTTCAATCTCGAGTCGAATTTCAAATTAAAGTCCTCCAAACCGCAGCGAATCCGCCACACGCCATATCCTTTTCATCAGAGAATGAAAAATCAAGGAATGCGGCCCATTACTTCAATTATTTGCAATTTTTCTTCTCACATCATTCATGAGATTTAAATAATTTTTAAACAATAGGACGTACAAATCTATTTGTTACAATCCATGTTCTGTTGTGCTTTCTTCCATTCTCTCAGAGCTAGGCTTCAATGGTACCTCATTCCAACATACATATATAATCGGGCATTTTTTGCTGCTTTTCATTCCCTCTTTCAAATTTTTACATTTAGCTTGCCGGGTGCCGTACTTTCATCATTTTTACGTAAATGCGTATAGCTTCTGCACACATAGCATGCAAATTCTAAGTTTGGGTTATTTTTTTAGCAACTACTTTTATCGATACTTTATCTATGGCAAATAGCTACTAACAATTCATACCTCATATATTAGATGTATATTTAAGCTGTTATGAAATCAAAAAATCCTCTGAAAAAAGTTTGATCCTTAATTTTTTGCTTAGGATAGAATAAGCATCATCTCCAATATTATTGTATGGAAAACATAAATCGTCGGAACAAAATCTAATCATTTATTAGTGAAAATATTAAATGCGGCATTGCAAATATGATCATGAATGTTTAGATGGAAATAAATTCCATTGTCAATTCCAGTTGGTATTGCAAGATTACAATGACAATAAAAGAATGAATGTGTTGAATTTCGTAAAAATGAAGACCATGAAACCTTTAAAACTTTCAATATAATGTTTTGGAACAGTAATTCGAAATTGGGCATACGTTGTTAACAAAGAAAACTTAAATAGAGATGAGGACAATTTGTTCGTAAATATCAATAACATCATATTAAAAAATATCACTAATATCATATGAAACATTCTAATAATACTGTTGTAGTTAAAGATATAAAATTTGAACAAAAATATCATCAATTCAAATGCAAAGATACGTTATAATTTATGTGATTTGTTATGGAGGAAATATTGTGCCAAATGCTTTTTAGCCGTTCGTTTTAATTTAATCAAACAGAATTAATTGATAATTTCTTTTTAATCATGGATGCGAAATCGCACATATTCGCACATATTTTTTGTGTCGCATATATTTTTTCCTAGGAAAATTGTCATTCATTGCAATATCCTTCCAATCGTGATCTATACATTGATCAGGGCCAAATTTTAATATGCTATAAATCTCTCACAATGTAAGCTCTCAATTATTTTATAATCCATTCCTACACACTATAGAGAAACCACAAACAAATCTTTTTATACGCTTTTTTAATCAAAATTTTTTTTTCACTTCCTTTAATTTCTATTTATCTTTTCGTCTTAATTACTATCCATATACATATTTGTTTATTCTTCTTTGTATTTATATACTAAATATAAATATTTCCCAAATCACTGATAGATTTATTCTAATTGATTGGTATGATGGCTAAATGTATTATGAGTGTTTCTTTTTTTTATAGAGGATATGCTCAGTATGTATTATTTTAAATGCTACAGTATATTGCTACTTCTGTGATCATAACTGTTTTAGAAATATAGTTTTATTTAAGTTGAAATCAAAAACTTCGAATTCAATGAAATTGTTAACTGTAGTCAAATTTTCGGTGTGTTCTTCTGGTTACCTTTATAAAATTCTATTTCAACAAAAATGAAAAGAAGTGGTAGTAATTTTTAAATACGTATCATATGTTATGTATGATTTTTTTTGCAGCATAAAGATATTGAAGTTTTTAATTTTAAAAGCAATGTTTTAAATGACAGCGTTAATGTGCCACGACAATATTTTGGTCTTCATTAATTCTGTATTTTGTCAATCTTGCAACATACACATGTTTTAAGATTTTTTAATTTATAATTTGAATTTACAATGTAGAGGGACATATTATTTACTTTTAATGATTATTCTTGCTCAAATTGAGTGAAAAAAGCTGGATTTATCTACTACTTAGATGATTGTAAAGTTGTGGTCTTGTGAAAAATAGAAAGTATAATACAGTTTCAGCAATTATAAGTTAATTGAATTGTTCCAAGATAGCTTCTGGTGAATTAGTGTAGGATTGATATTGATGATATTGTGAAGAAGAATTTTCAAATTCATAAATTCCCTTTCAAGAAAGGACTTCTCTCATTCATTTTTTCTGTGTTAATGAAAATGGAAGTTATTCAAAGTGACAGTAAGGGCAGTATGATGAAATATTGAGTTCACAGAGTGCAGTCGTTTAATCGCTTGTCCTTTCACCAATAAACACTTTCTTTCCATCCCATCCGTTTAAGAAAACGAAGTAATGCATTTGCAATCGACACATTTCGTTTGTTTAAATTAATAAATCACCATCTAATAATTAGCAAATTATTAACCAGAACAGAGTGAAATATTGCAAACCGATTAATGAATACGAATTTAGTTCTTCTATCTTATTAATATATTGTTAGCAAATTTCAATTTGTCATCTTCGTGAAAGCTTTTCGAATTTTCTGATTCTTTGTCAAATCAGAAATTTTTTTACCGCATCAATTGAGATTGTTAATTTTAAAATTCACTTAAAGAAATCAGATGGGTTTATGATAACAGAGATGCATAAAATCAAAATAAATGAATATACAATATTTTGAAAATATTTTCATTTTTACGATGGATTCAAAGATATGACATCAAGATACACCTCATTTAACTTAATTTAAATTAATTCATTCCAAATGGAATTTATCTTTTTTAGATTTTCGTGAGAACAATTCTTTTTTAAATTTTTGCAAGCAACAAGATATTTCCAAAAAATTTAAACTAATATAAATTTAAAATTTGTGATAATCCAACAATTTTTCAAATAGCAGACGGTAAGAGGCAAGTTGACTTATAATTTATTTCAATCCAATTCGATTCCAATTCGATTTACTTTAGGTTAATCGGTCAATCTTCATCCAAATGTTAAGTTTTTCGGTTTCTTGTCTGTAAAAGTGTAAAGTGTACTCATTTTATTTTTGATTTATACAATATATCAAATGTGATGTGTAATATCAAATTTATTGCAACAAAATGTTTTAAAATTTACCCAGGAACTTTCAGTAGTTTCACTCTGTAATATTGAAATTTAAAAGTTGACTGCTTTCTTGAAGTAGTTTAATTTAACTGGAATTTTTTTACAAGTCCTAAAAAATTCCTCTTTCTTTTCTCTAAAAATTTGCAAAAAAATTTACAACTTTTGTCATGTGCATTATTTTTTAGGAACTACTATCCATTCAAAAATATCATCAAATAACATTAGGATCTGAGCATGAAAATTTAGAAAAAGTAGTTTTTAATAATATTATATTAAACACAGCGAAATATGATTCGAAATATTAATATCAATTAAACATCTGAATGAAATGTTTCTGCTTTCACCAAGTAAAAGTTATTTGAGAAATTGTAACCAAAGTTACAAGATTTTGAAATCGTCCTCTCGGAAATTAATGGAATCTATTTTTTTTTCAATTTTTTAATAAAATTTGAAGTAGAGATTCTTTAAATTGACGGCCTAAACTAACAACTTTCTATCTGAATACACTGACGATTTGAACTATACTTTTTCACTACAAATTTCTAAACTGGTATTAATTACAATAAACAATTTTTCTATATTCAGTATTCATGAACAACTAAAATTTAGAAATTGTACCGAATTTTTGGAAAACTAGAAATAGAGAATGGAAATGGATGGATGGATTTGTTGGACAAGCTGATATTTTATTGAAAAACGACATGCAATATTTATGGAAATTCCATTTGCAGGCTTAATTAGTGGTGCAAATCTCATTCAAATTTTTCATTTTATATTGAATTGTTCAGTAAAAGGATAGAGTTTGTTTAATGGTAGCGATAAAACTTTCAATAATTTTTCGTTTAACAAACTTTCACTATATTAAAAACCATTCGGGTGAGCCGCTTAAATCAAAACACACCATATACAGTTCCGTTGATTATAATCTTAATAATTATCATGAAAGAATGGTTTTGGAATTTCTGAAAAAAATAGAGCAATGATTACAGAAAATAGGTCAACATTTCAATTTTTCAAAAATTAAATTTGTTACCATCAGACCTGCAAATGCTGAATTCTAAACAATGGGTTTAGGTCAAAAATGAATATTTTTGAAAGAAATGGAATATATTAATATTGAAAGAATTTTCTAAAATTTGAGAATTATTACTATCATTATTATTGCTATCACTGTTATTAATTACAAAAATCAATGCATGATAATAAAAGTGGAAGAAACCTCATTGATTATTTATCTTGCGACTGAGACATGAGAATCAATACAATTCAAAATCTATTGGAACTACAGATGTAATCTGTAAAATAAACGAATTTCACACTTCGCTTGTTTCGAACTTATACAAATTTACACTTTTAACCTAAAACATAAAATTATTACTAATACCGTTTATTGCCAAGCACTACTCTGATTGCTATCACAATTACACTGATATCAGGAAAATGCATCGTTTTATCACCAAGCAGAAGCACCAAGCAGCCGTAATAATCATAGCTTTATCAAGTTTATTCTCACTTTCGATAATGCACAGGCGACCACTGGAACCACAGTATTCCAACATTAATTTATATCATTTAATTGAATTTCACTTATTTCAAAATAAATTTCGGTTTAAAAATCAAAACTGACGGCATACAAAACACCAAGTTATGATTCAAATATATATGGTAAAATCAATCAATTAAAATAAACAAATGAAAGACAGTTACGTTACTCTTTTAACATAACTGTCTCTTCAGTTATAATCTGGAATGATACGTAATATTAAACAGCTCAGATTTATACCTCAACGATTTCGCCACGTTCCATTCTTTCGTTATCAAAAGTTATCACGTCATCCAAAATATTTGCTATACTAATTTTGTTTAAAATGTAACAAAGATTTTTTATTGCATATTTCTATCAGTTTTTCCTACGACAGAAGAAATTCTCAAGGATTAGTAGCAAAAAGCGAATTTTAAATCCTTCTTTCATGGTATTTAATTTCATGAGATAGTGTCATAGTATGTATATCATCTCATTTTCTCATCACTTGGCACATCTTTCTTTGATCCCTTATAACTTATCAATATACAACAAAATGGTACCTTTTGCTTTTAACATGGTACTTATCGTATTAAAAAAAAACACTAAGACTGATGCAATATCCATCAAGCATTTCATAAGGTAGTAAAATTTCAATTTCAAGAATTGGCTATTTAATATGAAACAATCTTTTGACTTCTTTTTATCCCACTAATTTCGGATAATTGAAAGATTTTCTTAATCGTTGAATAAAAAAACTAACCTTTTTTTCTTCTTCATATTTTTAACAAACAAGAAAGTATGAATTCATGCGTCGCCATCGAAATCTCATCAACCATTTATAGTTTAGTTCATATTAGTATCGTAACGTCAGCGTTGGGATTAAAGGTTAAGTAAAAAAAAAACGGCACCACTGCATTTTAAGAAGTTAAAACACATAGGTAGAACTGAATTGGAAATTAAACTAGCAGATAACTGAAATTATCATAACACATTAGCAAAGAGAAATGAAAAATTCGCGGGCTACAAGGAGAAAAAGAAAGGTGAAAGGAGAATTGAACACAAAAACGAAGAGATATAAAGTAATTGGGCAACAATAGAAGTTTAAAAGCAAAAGAGTTGAACTTTAAAATGTATGAAAAAGCGCTACCGCAATAAGACATTCACCACTAAAAAAATGTTAGAAGCGATAGAAGCTTCAATGAAGTCGAAATCTGCTTGAGCTTGAAATTTTATGAAAATTGAAAGTTATCTGCCAACAATCATATGGGAAAATTGATTAGGCAAATTGACAGCAAATAATAAATAAACCCGAGAATGAACGAAACATTTGTCATAGTTGGAGAAATGTTAACGCTTTTGAGTGCAAATATTTTATTTGACCTTTTGATGGAAAATTACCTAAAAATGTAAATAAGAAATTGAATGAATTGCAGTGCATTATTAAACAATTGAACTAATTTTCCCTGGTACATTTCTTTTTTTTGTTTTGCAATTTAACCACAAAGAAGTGCCATTTTTTCATTATTGTCCTAATTGTAATTCAAATTGTAACACTAAGTGACAGTCAAATGATATGTTATTAAAAAAATTTGGAGAGTATTAATGAAACATCATCTATTGTTGATAAATAGATTGAAAAAAAATTTGGTTTTTTCAGAGAAGATTAAGAAAAAGACGAGTTTAATGTTGTTCTTTTAAGGATCAACTTCGACCTGATTAGAATTCAGTCTTCTATCTCAGCATCAAATTTCGGAAGCATATTTTCTGGATAAAAGAACATTTCTCCTAATAGTGATAAGCCATTAGATAAAATAAATGTGATAGTTTATTTTTTTAAAAATTTTGCTAGCATATATGGTAATGCTCATTTAACATGATCAAAAAGAATTTTAAAATATTCTTAAATAGATGAGTTATTAAAATCTGTTTAAAAAAATCAAAATTTCAAGTAAACTTAGGTTATAAACATGAATGTTAAGCATTGTTGAAAGCCATGATAATTAAAGAAGGATTGATTACAATTAATCACTCTCAATAGACTGATTTGAAAAACTTTCACTTCTTTATATCTGCCATTTCAGGAGGCTTTTTGCACCATCATGTCATTCTCAAATTCAATTGTACCACTTGAATGATTGTAAATCTATACTAAAATTAAATTCTAACTAAATTGTCAAGCCGATTAATTTTACAGGATACTGTCTCTTAGAGTTGCAATTCTCCACGTATTATCCAATGAGATATCACGGAAAGCAGACAGCGATATTGGTTGCGGTATGGATGGCTTGTGAGTTGAAGTTCGCTTGTAGCATTTGAGATATCTGTTTGTTGACATATGAGCTCACGTTGCTTTTGTCACAGTTCCATGTCTACTTGATCCATTTACCTGTTCAGGTATTACTGTTGGATCAGTTTCAAGTTCTATCCAATACACACGAGAAACGATGCCCGGTGCACAATATTATGACGGTAAAAAGTTAAACATACCAATATCGAAGGAGGCCGGAATACAACTAATCGAGCGATGGATTCATCAGGGAATCAGCAGTATTATGGCTTGTATTGCTACCCAACAGTCAGTTTTTT